GTTAATAGAAGAGGGTACATGAGAACGAACACGTTCACTGCCACATGGGCACGTTCATGACTTACGATCAACCATTACGCATTGATTATGCATGACCTTGACGGGGATCGTAAACCAACCTAATTTCAGTGACCTGAATGCTTGATGATATGGCCAGTGCCCAGAAATTTCACTGGCCGTACATTCCTATCCTATAAGTACTTTTCGTGCTTCTGTTAGAAGTTTCAGCGCAACTCTTCGTATATGTGAGGTTCGTTCTACATTAAGAACACGAAACAACAATCCTTCTAACAAAGCTGATCTTTCCTGTTCATCATGTGCCCAATAGGTTTTACTTTCTCCAAGCACCGCCAGGTTGTATCTCCAAATTCCCTCAGCTATGTTTTACAGGTTTCACAACATTCTGTACACACGTGATAATAATTGCTTTGATCGTACAAGGAGGGACAGGTATCGTAGCTGTCGGATAATCTCAGCTTACACCATGACCCTCCAACCTCTAGATCAGAGTTAAATAATTGAAAAACCACTCACTGGAGACACTAAGGCTAGCATACTTACAATGAAAACGACATCGTTTACGAAGTTCGGTCATTGATAAAACCTGTCTTAATGTTCACCTCTCCGTTTAAGGAATCTACTTTACTTTCCGTCTAAAAATGTCTGACGTTCTCGTTATTTTACAACGAGAAACAGATTTACATGATATCCGATTCATCTGTAGATAACAATTTATTAACGAAAATTATTATTACAATTCATGACATAAATGGTTATTAAGGACGTCTAATCTTGTAAACGAAGCAGCGATTCATAAAAGTATTTTTTCGCGTACGTTTCACCTATCTCAGCTCAGCAGGTTCAACTGAGATTGTCGGTGCATTATAAAAGATGTTTCACCGAAAAATTGGAAACATTGTGAGAAATTACTTCGTAAGAAATATCTAAGCAATATTTTCATCTGCTGTCAGTGAGGAACATTACTTTCAAGTGAATTTGGTAGTGGAATAACAATCATCGGTTATTTTTTAGCATTTTCTAAAAATATAGGGAATATATGACAACTCAAAGTCACATAAGTATGAGGCTTTTTGTTTAAGACGGAAAGAATAAGTTGTTAGCCTTCATTATAGTTAACATTCACTTGACTTTTTAAGTAACTGACATGAGGTTACCAATAACTATTAGGACTTCTTCGATTAATGTTAATTTGTAATAGCCCAACGAAATAAATCTAGAACTTCGACAAGACGCAAGCAAGAACTCAAAGTTCAAGCGGAAAGTATGTAATTGTATTGTTACAACAGATTTAAACAAAACATGGAATATTTGATCATAGTTTATACATTTGTCATTTACCACAAATTATATACAAATAAATTACCTAATTTTGAACGATAATTTACAGCAAAACTGTACGGCCGTATAATCTATAGACAATTAGTTCATGCACTGCTTAGCCCCTAAGCGGCTTAATCCCACTAAATATTAACAACACTACCGTGGAAACTTAATTAGCACTGTGTTTTTGTAGTTTCTTATTCAGTCGACTTGAATAACAAGATGAAAGTTGACTCATCATTATCGCAGACAGAATACAAATATTAGCACAGACAACCACTAATTGTGGTAAAAGATGTGCTGAAAGTGTATAGATTTGATAAACGGTCGTAAAACAGCAAATACCTAACCCAGAGCTGTCAAATATTCACTCCAAAAAGATTTAACACATCAAATATGTCCAAGAAGCCCAAAATTACTTATTTACCATACTGCTGGAAGATTTTCGCTAGTTTGTCGGTCTGCGTCAGTCATTGGCAACCCTGACGAAATTTGACAAAAAGCAACTCACTATACGATGATCAGTCTTTTGAGATAAAGATGTTTTCAACTCGACCTATACGCTGACTGGGATTAAATACTTATCTCTTTGTATGTCTATCTCAGTGTACCATTCCTCTTGATACATATTCAATATTATTCAAACTCTAGTCCCGATTAAACTAACTGATTATCGCCCATTCAGTATGTTAATACGAATATTTGATCACTTCCAAATTGTGACACTTCATGATGAAATAGTTGTCCAACGAGCATAGTTCTCGACAATTATCCAGTCATCAAGCTAGGACGACGCCTATAGAGGAATTATACATGAAGTATAAACTCATAAATAGTACTCGTAATAAATGCAATATTAAGAAAGAATATATTAACTGAGGAATAGGAAAGGCACTAACAAATTGCAACTGTTCATAATTACGTTTTTTATATCTTGCTAAACAACAAAGAAAGTCGTCTTTTATTCACGCAATCACTTATAAAATTGATTTTAATTAACATAATGTGAAATAATCAAAAAAACATATGCATATAATGCAGATGGTAGGTGTTTATTACAACTAAATGATTTATATAACTGAATTAAGAAAACAAATCGCACAGGTATTGGTGACACTTACTAGCAAGAGAAATTATTAGAATATTTTTAGATACGTGTGATGTTGAAGATAACACAAAGGTCATTTCACAACATAATTATATGAACGAAGTATATTCTTTTCAATAATTTCTCATCAGCTTCTACAATCCAAACTAATAATCCATAAACTTGGCCAGATTTAAGGCAGGGTACACCATCTAAAATTGTAACAAGTGAATCAAGGATTGCTATTTGTAATATGAAATCAAATCGTTATTGTTTGGATGACTAATATGAAATGTTGACTTGAATCAGTTTATAAGTGAAATGAAATTGTGAGATAAATGATCAGAAAAAAATATAGTTAACATGGCGTGAGAGAGAGAATAATGTAATTACAAATCAGAAATTACGTAATACATTGAATAATATGAATTAAGTTAGATATAGTAGATAGGGGTGGATGCTGAATAAATTTCTCAAAAAGGTTAGCAAGTGTAATGATAATAATGACAATGGTAAGATATGTGGATAAGTTTTATGGATTATTAACTTGAATTTATAATTTTAGAACCTGATGAAAAATTATTCTTCATCCATATAATTGTGTTTTAATACGATGAGAATTTCTCAGTGATCAAAAGGTCCTTTCAGTGAAACGCTAACAGTATTGAAAAGAAAATATTCCTTCACAATAAACCACCAAGTAATAGAAATCCCCTCAGTGACTAAAATAAAGAATTAACTAACCGCATACCACCAGAAAATATAGTACAATTGTATGAATAAATTGGTATGGTATAAAAACAATTTTGTAGATATCGACCGATCAAGTTGTAAGAGAATGCTGAATAAATTCAATAACTGTCATCACATGAGAAACAGAATTCCAAGAATGATTGAGTAGTAGAAATAAAACGTAATTGTTAGGTAGTGTTATATCTTAGTGAATATTATAGTACGAGTAACTTCTGAGACATCTTAATTGACTAATATTATCTATACATTCTTATGGTATAACTATTCAATAATTAGATTATGTATATTTATATTCCTCTTATTATAAGCTTTATTTTGACCTATAATTTATTATTGTACGACTTACGGTTCATAAGCTATGTCCAGTTTATTGACTACTGCCTCCCACGTTCATAGCCACTTTTTGGCTTTACTGTGTACAAATGTTGTTTCTTATTTTATGGTGCGTTGCGATTTGTTTGATGTCTGAAATGAATGATTCGATTCGCATATTGGAAGCTGGTATTTGGTGTTCTGGACTCAAGTGGACGGGCTAGGCGGACATAGGACCAATAAGGACGCTAGACTGCCCATACCGCTCGAACGTCATTGGTTTGGTACAGTGCGAAGATTATATAAGTCGTATTTTGATTGGTGGATAAATCACGTGATAAAAGCCAAGACATAAAGTCATAACATAAAGAATCAGAGAAATGGTGAAAAGACACGAGAAGCCAGTGTAATAGTGAATGAGAAATATCGTGAAGCCAGGATAGATACATATCGGTATTCAACCCAATTAATTAAGATTGTCTCAGTTATATAGCTGAGCTGAAATAAATGGCTAACTACCGTTATTATACATTATCCATGCAACCTGTAGATAACGCGATCCTGTTGATGGACAATTTATAAAGTAATTTCAGAAGTGCTTACTGTTTTGAATAATAAGATATAAAATAGAATCAGTTTTAATTTGCAAAACTGTTTTAAATACATTTAGTCACAGTACTCTGTTTATGGAAATAAAACATCTTATTTCTCCGATTCCTTTCATTCTACTAAATACTTCTGTGTTTAGAAAACAAGACATTCAAAACGATCTTTCTGACCAACTGATTGCGCACCATGGATGCTCTGTCGGAGCTACTTAACATCGCGACACAATCCACATTAGTTTAACAACTCTTGAGTTTGAGAAAGCCTGCATCACTTTCCTCACACATAAATAAGATTTCTGAATCTCATTGATAATAAGATCTTAGTGGCCTACCACTCAGCAAGCTGTTTTGTTTTCTTAATATTCCCAACTCAGTTAGATACTAATTGTTCAGTAAAACTAACTTAAATCTAGTTACTGGTTCAACAACGATTGCTGATATTTAAACAGTTTAGTCTACATTAATTGTTAGACTGTCTCCACAATTAAGTTGTTTCTTTCTTCGTTGTTGCTACAACCCGTAAACTGACAATTACACACAATGCTAAACTGAAAGTCGACGCTTGTGCGAAACCCCATCATTAGTATAGATGAAGTTAAATAAATAATAAAAGTAATGATTTTTCATATTTGTTCTTGCACTAAGTAGATATGATATTTCCTTATTGTAATGTATTTCTTGTATGATAACATTAACATCACTGTTATGAAGTAAGAATATAGAGGAAATTAACAAATAATTGGCTTGAGTAAAATCCCTAGTGGTAATGGCTATTGAGGCTGGGAAAATACACAGCAATAACGGGATTATACTCATCAAACTGGAATAAAAGTCACACAGAATCACGTACCAAGACGTCAAATACCACAGAAACTCAGCGATCTGAAAATAAAGTTTTCACAGTGCTTAAAACGACTTTGTTTTTACAATAAAATGAAGCATACAGTTGCTGGACAATTTATATCAATTGTCGATGAAATTTTAATTATTTTATACATCTTAACTGTTAATTAAGATTATGATGTGATTCGCTTATGAGTTTCAATACGTGCCTTTTATGATAAACTGTTTGTGAAGGCGATTAAAACTAATTGGACATATAAATCGTAGTAGATGAGTGGAGTTCAAACTTAGAGCTGAATATTTAGTTAGTGAATCACCACTATTTAGAATATTAACAATACTGAGAAAGTAATACAATTTGTTTTATTGAAATGAAATAAATTGAAAGAGAAAAAATCGTCTTACGACACAGTCCTAAAAGATACACACCCACATCTTACAGAATGAAAAAATGTAGTATAAAAGAATGTAAGTGAATAGGAGAGAATAGTTAGCAAATAAGTGAAGCGAAATTCTCAAGACAAGAAATTAACCGTTTAAACCATAAGAGAATAAAAACACAAGACACAAAAAATACGTAATACGAAAGTATAAATGGGAAGTTGATGCACTTTCACATCCCCTCCAGAGAGTAAAAGATAGGTGACTAAAAAACGACAACAGAGACAACATCAATTAAGATAGTATTATTAGGGCTTTAATGTTTCAAGTGAAATGTTCAAAAAAAATCGAATTCATTTTGATCATCATAGAGAAAAAGGGAATACAATTAACATGATATTTGTATTATAAAGACAGGACCACGATACAGGCCTTAACCATTGAGAACTTACGAACATTAATAAATAAATATGCTGAAGAATAAAATACGGGGAAAAAAGAATAGAACAAAAGGCAGGAAAAAGCCGAGACAATTCAGCCTATAACAATACACATAGTCGCTTGTATATATTGCGTGGGATTACTGCGTAAACCCGGTATTATTTTCTCTACAAAACACATGTTTTAAAGGAATACAGAACTAACGAAATATGGAACATAAACCAACAGATGAAGAGAATGCATATATATATATGCTTATCAAATAAGTTACTTCAAGGCGAATTCATCAGCTGTAAAATGTAGTGAATGAAGTTATTTGAACAGCTTGTCGCATACGCATAGATGTACTCAAAGTTTACTGCGTTTGCAGTCGGGTTCATCTAAACTACCCGGTCCGAGAACTCCAGCTCCTCCCCCACCCATCCAAGTGTCATGATCAGGTGGACAGGACATTTGAGGGACAGGTCTTTGAAGGCTCATAGAATCATCGTATTCATAGCCGGGATGACCATATCCAACAGAATGCTAATAAAGAGAAAAACAAAAGTAATGGGACATGAATAAGATATAAATCACCATGTAAAAAAGAAATTAAGATCTAACTAATGCTAAGTGAATAATTGGGTTTAAAACGTCCAACTCATTTATTTAACGCAATATATAAACATTAATTTCAAAATTGAGAAGCTACAACATTCAGGTTGCTTATGATTAGAAAATCTGACCTACACTTAAGATATTAGAAGACGGATTATTAACAACTAAACACACACTTATATCTTCATGTAAAATGCTTTGAAATCAACAGTATGTTATACGAACAAATTATTCTAGGTTCGAAATAGTCATATCTAGGTTTTCGTGTAAAACACCATGAAGCATCCAAATGCCTAATGAGTAATTTAAAGAGGTATTGGATGAGAAAGAGTCCATTGTGTGACTATGAAAGAGGAATCATACCGTATCAATGAAAAAAAGAGAAACGTACACTAGTTCTTACGGACATTTTATTGGCCATGTGAGGAAATAAGGACTATATCTCCTGGGGTACCTTTGTAATTAATAACCAGGCAAATTTAATGATTAATGAAATGATGACCACCTTTTGGCATACATTCGTTTGCACAGACGTGAATGCGATCGTCAAAATCACGGTCCATTTGTACCACTGCGCTCATCAATTAATGTACATACAGATAGAACTCCAACGTTTCATGTAAAAGCTATTGATGGTGATATAGATGATTCACAAGAAAACTAATGTGCCCCCATATGGACGAGTTCCTCTAAGTAATGTTTTCCAGTTAAAAAATGACACCGGACTTGAAGAATTTATAAACAACCCAAAAACCTTGTTATCATTTTAGTTCCATAACTTTCGAAACAATGACTTTCTAACTTGAACCATCAGTTCACTCACTGACTAAAACAGTGGGATAAAGGTATAATAGCTACTTTGAAAGTCCCTTAACTTTGGAAGCATTATATGTAGCACATAGCTTCGAAGTAAAAATCCCATAAAGATTTATTCGAAATTTTTAAATAGGAAAGTAACAATTGAATGCAACGAATTATTACAAAAATACTAAAAATAAGTGCTAACTTCATCAGATGATGTTGGACCACCAGTCCCAGATGCCACAGATCCAGCAGCAGCTGCTGCCGCGGCTGTTGCCGCAGCATACATATTTGCTTCCTCTTGAGCCTTTACAATGTTCTTCTTGTACCGAATACGTTTGTTTCCAAACCAATTAGAGACCTGTGGAATGAAAAACGGTCCAATGGTTAATTGGATTCATAACTGTTATTTTAGCAAACGGATTTTTACACTAGATCAGCTTTTGTTATAATTATCATCAAAATGACGATTGAAATGGGGAAATTCAAGTACGACATATCATATTAATCAACTCGGAACCGCAAAAGCAAATTGGGCTAACAATTGATAATTTTAGAGTTCTAATGATGTTACTAATAATATAAATAGAAGGAAGAGTTATAGGTTAACCTACACCAGTGTAACTTTGTGCGAATACAACTTTAACAGATAGATCAGAATTTTAAATAACTTGTTCAAATTCATTTTTTAGAATTGACAATGATTAAGTACCAAGATGTAATTAACGAATTGATTTGAAAAATGCAAAAATTATCATACCTTAACATAACTATTATTTACCGACTAATCAGATTAAGCGAAAAGGTGATAACAATGAAAATGCGAGCCAATAACTGAATCGAATTTACAGTTATGATCATGTAGACAAGTGAATTCAGAAGTATTAAGAACATGATTACGAACACTTTTGACTACAACTGCCCCATAAAAAAGGAGGAAGAGGGCAACAATTTGTAGTATTACACATATACAACTTAATCTCAATCAATCAAAATAGCAGGTCTAACTAGCTGAGCAAAGTGGAAGAAAAATGGTACACCTAATGATAAGGTCTAACTATTTAACGAGAATCAATGTTCACTTTCCCATTCTATCGATTGACACTCGATACAGTCATTAAAAAAACCACACCCTGGTGGCTAACCGGTTAATCAATCTTTGGAATCACATCTAAACATGTACACACTTGTTTTAGAGATCAAAGTCACAGGTTAGTGCTGATAACAAAACCAGACAATACACGTTAGTTAAATACAACGACAACTGACTTCACTTTCTACCTTGAAAGATGAAGTCTAATGAAAAATGTGAATGGTGTTTGAAGTGTAGATGAATTATATAGTAAATTATTTAAGATGTATAGGTTAATGTGCTTGGCTTTGAAATAAACTGTCTGTATGGAGATTAGTGATACTACATAGCTGTCTAAACCGAAATAAGTTGAACGGGGTTCGAATCTGAGACCTATTGGGTGAAAGTCACTTGCTTTTTCAACCATCAAACCATAGTTCAAAAGTATGAAATACAAGTTTTTCTTAATAATGTTATTTCCGAACAGATTTGGGATATGTAGGAATGACTTTATAAAAGCTATCATGTCAACTGACATTTTAAGTATTACCGATAAGAATTAAGACTAAATGAATGGATATGGCAATACGAAAATTCGAGTCATGAAGAATGTAAGCAGTTGGTTTTTATCATTTTGTGATAATCAAGTAGATTGAAACGTTATAATTATAACAAATGTAAACGTCATCAACACTGATTAGCAAAAACGTTATAAATTCATTAAGTTTCAAAAAAATATTATCTTCAGACTTTGAATCCTGAGTCATTTACACATAAACATCACGTAGCAATTCATTTCTCAAATAATGAACAAGGATAACTTATGGCATTAAGAAAGTAATTATGAAACAGGTCCCCATTAGGATATGTTAGGTTACTGAACTTAAATGGTAGTTTCATTATAATTATTGCCAAAGAAGTGGAATATTCATCACTTAGTAATTTGCTAAATATCACTTTTATATGCCTGACACAATGATGAGTAAATCTGAACTTCAGTGAAAACAGAATACAAACATCAATGACATACACATATATATACGATTTTATGTCTACCAAAATATTATATTAAAATGAAAACTGTAAAAATTAAATGTGCGAATTATTTTCAGAAAACTGACTTGTGAAACAGTTATCCCACATTTTTTGGCTAATTCTTCTTTCGCTTCTTCTGAAGGATATGGATTAGCCAAATGAGAGTAGAAATATTCATTTAGTACTTCAGTAGCTTCTTTACTGAAATTTCGACGTTTGCGTCTAAAAGGAAAGGATATTCAACAGTGTAATATAGTCATTGATCAAACAACAAAGAAAATATACGGCTGAAACAAGCAGTTGTTTAGTTGAAATGGAAGATTTCTATGTTGTTTCTGGAGCATGATTGAATGCTGATTAAAATTACAGTACATATTAAAATGTTTTGGTCTCAAAGCTTCAGTGAACCACCGAGCGATGAATGTCCTCGATACGATAGATTCTTAAACGAAATTTGGTATATTTCGAAACACAAGAGTGAGAAACACCAGTGATTTATTGATACTGCTTTGATACCTTTAAACTCTCTTTCATAATACATTAGCCTACGAAACAGTTTTATATTTGATATTCAGAAAGTTTTAGTGACCCCTCCAGAATTTGACAGACGCATATACACTATCTAAATTCCTACAATTTACTAACCATATCAAAGTAATATGAACTGTTCATCCTTTCTTTACAATAGAGAGTGAACAAGGTAAATCATTCAAAATTGTTGAGTAGTTTTGATTGGGATAATAAGTGAAATACCCTAACAACGGTAAGCCACCCAAGTTTTTTTAAATTTTCTTATAACTTACCAAACACGTGTTTATGTACCTGGCTTTGAGCTAAAATATTTGTATGAACGTTTATTGACGCTAACCGGTTGTAGAAGCCGAAGTAGACAGTGAAGAATTCGAATAAGTAACCAAATAGTTGAAAGTCAAGTATCTTAGTCACTATACTATCGCTCCTGACACAAGGAAATGGAAAGAAGCGGTCTAATTTGAAAACCAACTATTGGAAACTAATTCCTCTGAAGAGCGGAAAACCAATCAAAATTACTTTATGACGAAACCAGATGCTAAGACTAACTAAACTAATAAATAAAGATACCAAAAAATCATGAATTTCTAAACAAACCACTCACTAGTTTAATTCATACAATCTAATGAGTACCATCTTTTCATTGCACTAGCCCAAAAGTTTAACTATTGATGCCTAGTATTTTAAGTTTCTAGTACAATAAACGCTTATTTAAAAGGAACTATGAACCGCATCTAAGAACACTTACGTACGCCTGTTACACCCTCGTGAAACATAAGCCACCTACCATGATTTTCAATCGAAATAATAAAAGTTATGAACGCCCAAAATTAATTTTTTAACATATCAGATCCTATTATTCATCCGTGAACTTACCTAGCGTCCAAAAATCGAGATCGCAATATCATAACTGCTTCACAAGTACTTTGTTTCAGCTGTGTTTCAATTGCTCGAAACTTCCTCCGAATTATACCAACCATAAGTTCAATTTCTGCTGGGCTTATAGGTCGACTACGACTCTGTTCACGCAATAAATTTATAACATGTCCTGTGAATTCATCACACGCCTAACAGCAAAGATAACAATAATATGGAAAAGACTAAACAAAAGTTTTATGCAAAGCAGAATACATTATAAAATTGTTAGGGAGAATGAGTTGTGTCTCTATTGTCTAAGCTTTTGAATAAATGTTTTTATTGTAAATCATATTCAATCCAAAGTGATAAATGAATAAAGCAGCATGACTCAAAGTGGAAAAATTGAGTTCATACTAAGTATAGGTCATTTCATCTCAAAATAAGAATATGGAAACAATTCACCAAGTTATTGTTATTTCGCTAGACAAGATTATTTGGAAGTTCCTTTCATTAAAATTCTACGCTAGTTGCACAACGAACAAAAATGAGGTGCACTAAGCAGCTGTTTTGTTCCATACCAGTGACACTAGAGTTGTTTTTACACAAGACCTTCAAACTTTTTAGAGCCCATAAGCCTTCTAAAGAGATCGGATCCAATTTTAGGAACAAAAATCACCAACCTTTACTAACCAACAGAGAACGACTTAAAATACAGAGTGGATTTAGTATTACCAGGATATACCTAATAAGTGCAAATTACACAAACACACAAATTATGAACAAATATCAATCATATATTTGAAAGCCTAGTTGAAATTGAAGTGTAACTATTTGACGACTTATCTGCTAATTAGGATATAGACTCGTGTAGGTTAGAGAAAGGCATGGAAAAAGTATATAATTCCATTTCACCTGGAGAAATATGAGCTACTTTAAGTTATTTACCATCGCCTTTAGTCAAGATGAACACTGGTTAGAATGAACACAATCAATAAAACACTGGAAGGACCATTAGAGTAGTTATTGAATAGGGACATAATGTATAATAGTTTGGTTCCAGTACAGAGTGTGATCCAAAATAAGGTTTTTTAAATCTTAAAACTGGATAAATTTAGTCTGATATCAACATTACTCTCTGACCTTTTGATATTATTTTATGTTCAAAGCTAACAGATTTCAATGTCAGATAACAGAGATTTGATATGATGGGAATTTTTCGGAGATTTACAACTTAGAGTGAGAATAATAATTGTAGGGTGTTTAATGAGATTTAACATGTACTTGGTGTCACAACATAAGCAGACAACTACGATCTTTTATAAAGATCGATCACTACCAAGTTGATTTTACATGCTTACGCTTGATTGTTGCGAAGTAGGGCAACAGCTTATCAGGTTTGTACAGAAAGTAAGACATATTTACACTTATCTAATTAAACGGAGTGGAGTGTTAAAGTAGAATCTTATGTCTAGGTCTAAGATGAGCTCTTTAATTATTGTATTTTTCTAGTCCTTTTTTATATGTATGGTTTGCTGACCAGAAGAACCACGTTGAGAATAGTTCAGGGGAAAATCGATAGTGCCTACAGTCAGTACTTAGTGACACATCAGAAAAAGCTTCACTTATGTTTAATACGACTATGTATCAGAAAATAGAACAAATGTGAGGGAAACCTTATATACTAAACAAAATTATTTTTGGCTGATCATTAGTTTACGCAGGATAAATTAGAATGCAATTGATAATCTTATAAAGATGTGGTACTGAAAAAACTTACATTTTTATATTTCTCCAATTCTGCATGATATATCTGGCGAATCTGAGACAATTTGGCGCGATAATCAGCATGTTCAATTTGATTACAATCACCGGGTCCCCCACCCAAGTCTCCAGGACCGTCACTTAGATCATTATTCAGACTACCGCCAGGTCCTGTTACACCTTCGGCAACTAACATTTTATCCAAGCGTAAAAGCTGAGGATCTGGTGAATTAGCTTCATCTTCTACAGCAGAAACAGCTGAGTTTCTCAAACTTAGAGCTAGACATCATTGCGAGAAGTAAACAATACAAAAAGATTATGACATTATCACCATAAGCTGCTACTTTTGTCTACTATGTAAAGCAACATATTAAGAGATTCTGTTCAAAAAAGATTTAACTTAGTTCGTTTTAATTCCATATCTGATGAGGATAGTATTTTCCTAAAGTGACAAAATAGCGCAAATTTAAGAAATGATGTTTAATTAGTTGGTCATTTAAAATACAATGCTGGTATATCGTATAACATGACTTCCTGTTTGATTTGTATAGTTTATCAACACTCGATGACCAGTGGTCAACTGACTGAATATGCATAATATTCTTTATTTTAAAAGTGCTTGGTATTCAACTAATGATTAGTGCTACATAGCAACTCGATACTGAACTTGAGTGTGTTTACCCGAAAATCTATTCGCACTTTCCACTTCCGGATTTTATCAGTACTGTTATATCCCGTCGAGAATTGTGAATGGTAACTCTAGAGAACTATTTATGAACCAATACGATACATATATTTTTGTTGTATAATTATTAAGCAACTAAACTATGCATATTCATATTCCTCTTATTAAAAGCCTTATTTTGACCCATAGACTATCATTATACGATTCTTGAGTTATGCCTAGTCTATTAATTACAGTCTCCCACATTCACAGCCACTTTTGGCTAGATCTTGCACAAAGGTTATTTTCTATTTTATGGTACGATGTGATCTGTTTGGTTTGTATACAAACCTAGCATGTTTGAAATATATAGTTCATATTGCAGAGGCTGAGATAGGTGTTCTGGATGCAACAGGCAGAAAGAAGGACCGACAAGGACTCTAGACTGCTCGTACGGGTTTATGCGTCATTGGTCCGGTCGATAAGTCACTGTTCTCTAATTGGCGGTATCATTAGGGCACAAGGCCACAAGTACTATTTACTATACTAGAGCCGTATAGTTTTGATAAACGTCATCGCAGCATATTATCGAACTTCCTCATAAGGACTAACAGTTTTAAATATACGAAATTTCGTTATAAATGTGAAAAAATATTCTGCAACTACATAATAATAACTATGTACAAACCTACCTGTTTTCTCCTTGATTTCACAGAACACACTGTATAGAGCAGGCTTTAATCTATGACTATTTAATGACTGTTTTCTATAAATCAACAAAACAAAGATGACAAATACAAACAACCAATGAATATTACAAATGGGATGACGAGAGAACTGTGTCAAAAACAAAGAATAACATTAAGAAAATATATATTTGCAAGTGAGTAAAATCTCGAGTTACAAATGAACTAAATAATTACATAAAGGCTTAAATTGGTCGCTATTAAGTTTTATATTATTTTGCTATTCGTGTAGAAGACAGAACAAAACAACGCTCTGATTTGAACAACTTCATTTAAGGAACATATGCTCTATTGCGCCGACGCATTTAAAGAAAGTTACCTTTATTGTGACTCAGCACAACAACCCGATTATTCTAATGCTAGTTCCAGACAGTTGTAATGTCATCTAGTACTGATTAGCATACACACACTTAAAGTTAAAAAACGTATTCAAAGAAGCATAACCGATGTTGAGAAATGATTTCACCTACTAAATTAAAAGTGTGTACTAATCATACAACAATATAATGTACATTATATTGCTAACAGATACAAAGAATTCTGCTAAGTAGGGAGTAAACATAGTTATCACATTGATTTAGTAGCCTTAAGAGCATTGCACGAAACTGTATTTATCAAGGAGTTTCACTACCAACTTTAGATAAATGTAGAGAGCATTTGCTTCGGAAACGTTTAATCAAAACATGAGAAAGTATTTCAACGATTTAAGGCCCCCAAATGCCCTGGTATGGCCGAGAGTGGGCAGAGTCCGCTCTCCCTCTTGAAATGCTCTCACATGGCCACGCGTATATAGCCTCTGTCAGGGAAGTCTTACTCACTGCCTTCTCGTGGCGGGGGTGTTGTTTACGAAAATGAGAGGACGAAAAGCGAATGTCCGGCGCTTTAACCGGATTCCAAACCAATGGTGCACATGGGTTCCAGTATCGTGCGGGAAGAAATGGCATATGAACCAATTGTTGGTCACCGGCTTCCATGAGACTGCATCTCCTTACGATGCTCCACTGCCTTGTGGATCGGACCTTCAGGTCGAAGGCTCGGGGAATGGCCCCCTAAGAAAACCACCTGCTTCGGTTTGGGCACCCGGGCAGTATCACAGCCCTCACACATATCGAACGGGATTTGTGTGGCGCATATGTATTTGGTGCCTCCTTGTACCAATGTCTATGTGCTAAAATAAATAAATAAATAAGCTGTTAAAGAATCATTTAATCCACTTGTTATATCCTAACGAAGAATAAATGAATGGCAACATCTAGGGATTATTTATGGACTAATATTAGATGTCTATTCATATTCCTTTTATTATAAGCTTCCATTTAACCTATCGAATACCATTATATGATCTACTATTCTTAAGTTATCTTCAATTTATTAATTACAGTCTTTCACAATCACGGCCACTTTTTGGGTTTGATCTTCTTGTATGACTGTTATTTTTCATTTTATGGTATGATGTGGTCTGGTTTGCTTGTACATAAACCAAGTATTTCTGAAATATATGATTCATAAAATTGAGGCTGAAATTGGTGTTCTGAACTGAACAGGCAGGGCTAGATGAGAAGACCAATAAGGACTCTAGGCTCCTCGTACCGATAAACGCGTCATTGATTTGGCACGGTGCTGAGATTGTATAAGTCGTGTTCTGATTAGCAATCATATCACGTAATAATTACCGGGCAAAAGTTACAACGCCACTTAGTTTGGTTTGAACATAACTACTTCGTGGATACATTCATCCTTTTTATTATGAACCTGAAAAAATACAAAGTATTCTGACTAACTCAAGCAACAATGCAAGAATGTTTGGAATGCGGTTCTCTCACTTCGAATGTAAAATATTACTTCAGGACTGACTTGCTTTACCACCCGAATTAATGATAGGGAATGGAGTAGTTGAGTGCGTCGATTACTTCATTTGTTTTGGGAGTCTTATAAGTCCCGACGGGCTGGTGTCTGACGAAATCCTGGCACAGATTCAAAGTCCCCTATTGGCTTTTGCCAAATTGCGCCACTTGTGGTGTAGGTGAGATATCCGTCTGCCAACCAAAGGACGAGTTTACTGCGTAGTAATTCTCTCTGACCCACTTTATGGGTGTGGAAAAAGGCAATACGGAATAGAGGATTTTTGTAGGTTACTGGTATTTGATCACATGTGTCTACGAAGAATTGCTAGTGTGTTTTGGGGAAACGGAGTAAGTGATCCCTGGGTTAGGAATATAGTACTAGGTAAAGATGGGATACAGATTGATGAGGTAGTAAACCTTCATCAACTGAGGTGGTTGGGACATGTGTTATGCGTGCCCAACCACCACCTACCTTGGTGGGAGATGTTTGCTAGTGTAAGAGTGGGCTGGAAGAAAGCTAGGGAGGACCAAACCAAAACATACCATCAGTCCATGAAGTCGCTGACAATTGAACTTTACAATGTTATTAAGTATCGACTAACTGATTGGAGTAAAAACAATGTAAGTTATTCTACAGTCCGGAGAGATGTATGTAGGTAAAGTGATGAACATCAATAAGGCGGTGACGTCAAATTAGAGCACCAAACGTTTCGTTGTGTTTTACATAATATCATAGTAGCACGAAAAAATATTAAACTACAGTAGATATAAAGTATTACTGAACATGAGGAATTTTTTCGTAGTAACTCAAAGTGAGTGATCCTATAAGTGAAGCTGTTGCAACATTATAACTAAGAGTTAAAAAATGACTATTGAGATGAGCTTAGATACCTTTCCTGAGCTTCATCTAAACTTTGGTGAGCAACACTAAGAAGTTGTTGAAGTTCTCTTCCTGTCAACTGTGCACGCTGCTCCGTCAAGAGTGCGTTTTCCGAATCCATACCACCAGAACTCTGATCAAACCCAGAAAGATATTCATTTGATAACAGACCATGAGGTGTAAGTTGATGTAAAGGAGCCGCACTAACATCAAGACCAGGCTGATGCCAACTCATTGAAGTGCACTAAGGAAATAAAAGACATTAAGCTGACTTAGTTGAAAACCTTTTAACGAACTCAATAAACTTGGGATAATAAACACAACTTGTCAATATATTTTAAACTGAGTAGATATTGAAATTAAGCTTTTAAAATCCAAACAAATATAATACAAAATGAAACGGTAAAACTTCATATTAAATGTGTACGTTTAAGTAGGTGACAAAACAGAGCTATACTGAAAATAACGCTGAATTCAAGTGATACAATGTCACTATTTCCTTGACATGGCTCAGAATCAACCACAATGGTGTACGTGTATACACTTTGTCTTCCTTTAAACTGTGAAATTAAAATTACTTTACACCTTTCTTTCTACGAACTAATTTTTTCTCTGTATCATATTCTTATATGCAATCTTATTTCATACATACTACTATCATTGAAGTAATTGCTTCTATGAATTTGGTGTTCATATTGTGCAAATGAGTTGTAGCAACTTGGACCGATGCATATATGTGCCTGGTCCTACGTTGCAGATGACTGACTGATTCCCTTTGTTAAAAGCATCGTACACATTGATGTTGCTAAGTAACAACTCGAGTCAGGTTAAAATGAGTTTTCTCCTTTATTAAGAGTGTTGAGGCTTTATTAAAAACGTTCCCAGAAGTTAGCACTGTGTTGTAATTATTGAAGTCATCAAAATGATAGAGCCTTACCTTAATTTACCACCAATGAGTTAAAATGACTCTTTAGAAGATTATCGAGCTAAATATACACCCATCGGGTACTTCTGTACAATGATTCTTAGTCATAACCAACGTCAAGTACACTTAAACAACGGGGTGAAGACAGTAAATAAGTCAAGAAATAGACTTCATAGATTTACCACCCATGTTTTGTAGACACTGTTTCAGATGAACCAGACCGTCGATTCATTAGATAATTCTCAAAGAAAACGAATTCTCTTATCTGGAGAAGTCAGGAAGAATTAATCACTGCCATACTTCCAAGAGTATTCAGGTGGAACCTATTCAATATAAGCACTCTTTCATTTTGCTTCCTACCAATTTTCTATTTGTTACTAAAGATTTTATCTTAGCTTCGCATATATGGAGTCAGTATTGAACCCAATTTTAAGATGGAGCTTACAGTTACTCGAAACTAGCGGACAGACTAAGCCAGAAGGAAAGATACTCAAGAGTGATGACTAAAGGTTATTTAACAGTACAAGTTATGAATTTTATTTCAGGACAGATGTGAGTAACTCGTTTAGTTTCCGTAAAATAGACTATTTTTACACAAGTAATCTATCCGATTCATCGTTAATAGGTGAGCTTATACTCAAATACCCAAATACCCTGGTACGGTCGAGGGTAGAGTTCGCTCCCCCTCTCGAAATGCTCTCATATAGCAATATCTATACAGCCGCTCCCACGAAAGTCCTCCTCACTGCCTTTTTCACTGGGGTGTTGTTCATGAAATCGAAAGTACAAAAAGCGAACGTCCGGCGCTTTAATCGGGCTAGTGGATACGGAGGGTCCACCTAGGGGAGTTGGAAAACCGATTCCAAACCAATGGTGCAAATGGGCTCTAGTATCCTGAAGGGACAAATAGCATATGAACCGATTGCTGGTTACGAGCTACCATGGGACTGCGTCTCCTAACATTTTTCCGCTGCCTTGTGAATCAGACTTTTAGGTCGAAGGCTTCGGGTGTGGCCCCCTAAGAAAATCACCTACTTTGGTCTGAGCACTCGGGAAGTATCATAGCCCATACATAAATCAAATGAAAATTACTACTGGGAATATTATTCTTGCTTCAATTAAAATTCAGGCAATTCACATTCACTGAGATATTTCATTACTATAAAATAAATATCTAAGTTAATATAGATACACGAGCTAAGACAACTGTATAGATTATATTCTCACTGTGTGTATTCTTGTTTTTCAACTTATACAGCAGATCGCCTGTGGTGCAAACCCTGTTCTATCTAAACGATCGCAAGTTACTGGCCGGTCGGAAGATGAATGCCGCCACCGAATACGTATACTGTAACAGTCTTTCTGAAACCACGTGCACCATCCAAACTGGCTGCCTTCAATGTTCACACAATAATGCAAATCGGACAACAGAGAGGGTTGGCTATGTCTTGAGAAAGTCTTAATATCGATGTCTGTTGTCTATCCGAGACCCGTATTCAGGACTAGCGAAATAATATAAATTCACCTTGTCTGTCGCTTCGAAAAGATTGTTTTACCTGCGTTTATCCGGGTACCCCATGGTAGACTGATCACATTGCGATCAGCTGCCACTGGTGTGGTTGTAGACAAGACTGCTTTTCCTTTTGGACTACCTATCTCAACTTTGATCATTCCCTTGTCTAGGCTAATCTTACCTTACGTTTCAGTGGCCAACAAATCCATCAACCTAAAAGGATCGATGTCAGTAAGTTGGTTACAACTTCTTTTGCAACTGAATATCAAATATAACTAGGTTCAGGGATAACTATCATCGCACTGAAAGATATAGATGAGCATTACTTACAATCGCATGACGTCATGAATATGAAGAGTAAAGACTCTAACAGCTTCGCGAAACGTCCCGCCTGACCGAGTCAAAGCTTATGGGAAAACAGTCACTAAATTTTTAAGCATCAAGTGGTGTTTGTTAGGGTTGTTCATTTTCTGCCTATCATACATGCATCCTATAAGAGATAACTTTTACATCGTTTAACTCTTGAAGAATCGGTCTCCCAGAAGGATGCTCATAGTTAAATTCAATAAATTTCTCTTGAAAAACCTTGGAACTAGATTTGTATTTGTTGTAGAAAACTACTATCTCGATACTTTCAAATTAATTAACCATGTAATACCTTGCATATCCATTCACTTTATGCAAGTAAAGAATAAGCTAGTTTCATGAAAAAGGTAAAAAATAGTTTGGGTTAAGGACCCAAATGAAGTAAGATGATGTTCTAAGCTGAGTTTAAATATAGCAAAGAGAAACAAAAAACCCTACCTTGAAAAATAAGTCAAAAAAGCCCCGACTGCATAGGACTTTACTTTGTTGTTGATTATGTAGACAAACAAAGATTGAACATGTTAACAAGGTAGTTGTCAGTTGTCAGATGTTTCGTTTTTGCAAATAAATACCGGTTCTATTTTGCTTTTACTTTTAATTTTCGTTTTTGAGACTTGATCGATGATATTTGGTTTTACCAGTTTTCAGCTATAAGCCTTTCACAGTTTTGGCTAATTTCAAACTTTAATAGTTGAGTTCACGAATCAAGTGGATCTAGGCCGCCATAGAAAACCTGGAAATACTAAACGGTTGTTTCATCCTATTGTGGGACTCCTCAACAGCGCGCATGAGCGATCCCGCATCGCGATGTTCGAACCCAGGACCTATAGGTCTTGCACGCGAACGCTCAACCTCTAAAACACTGAGCTGGTATCCAACGGTGTTAATGTTTAACTTCAACCAATCCACGAAATTGAGTTACACATCCATCATTGTGTTCAGTGAGTTACTATCTGACAACAGATCTGGTTGAACTCCACTGGTCACTGCTTTTTACTAGAACTGCAGAAAATACCTCTTGAAGCCAGTGACTAGTGGGCATATGTTGAACAAAATCAGAAGGGGTAAACATTTCGTTTAAAATTTGGATATAGTCCTCACCCAAATATGATGCAAGAGATGGTGACGGTGGGAAGTGATGCGGAATATGTAAAATGAATTATCATATAAATGCACGCAGTTATTTTTCATGGATAAACATGTAAACCTAATACATTCATCGATTTTCACTGAACAATTTTCGTCATCTTCACTCTCGAAATGTTTAGTAGAAAATTAGGTATTTGATTATCTTATTCCCTCGTACTATCTCCATAGTTATCCAAATCATTTCCCGAATTTGATTATATTTGTCTATGCTCAGTAAAATGTTAGGTGGAAGTGACTAAAAAACTTCGAGCCCCTCGTCACTATGTTTTTTTAAGTAAAAAGCGCATCTCTATTGACCGTGATATACATCATGTTTAGTGCACACATGATCCGATGCTAAATAAACAAACTTGTAATGAGATATATGAATTTGAAGGTTCATTAATATTTCATCAACGTACGTTACTTACCCACTAAATGAATGGAAGAATGACTTATATCGCAAACTTTTACATAAGGATACATTATTTAATGCTAGTTACAGTCTCCTGTGTTGGGGGTAAGAGATAAGAATACCTGTGTTGACCTCAACGATTTAGGGTACTATGAAGACCTAATTGATGTTTCTGCGCGTCAACGTGTATTGTCATTGTATATTCTTGTGAAAGATTCCAGTAGTTCATAACTTTGTAGAGGTAGTGAGACTCGTCCGGTTACGACAAGATACCTTCTTGAACTTCTTGTGAATATACTCCTTCATCATATCTCATAAGCGTTAGAAATAAATAAAATGGGTAACTCACCACGTCATTGTTCGAAATATGGTGAGGCTATGTTAAACCACTTCTTAGGACACTGTAAGATTGTGTGCGTATGTTAGTGCGACTCATTCCATTATCGTGAAATGAGACTGACAGATAGTTCAACCTTTTAAGTCCCACTATCTGAATGCGTCCTAGCATTTGCGAATCCCTTTCGAAAGTAGGGAAGTATTTGATCTGATTCCCTGCTTTGTAATTGACCGATAATCTCTATATTTTCACTCTGAGACCCGGGTAAGAGAACTGACTGAGATCTTTAGAGGCTACACCTATCTTAACACATACGTCTTATCCGCTTTTAATGAATTTCGACAAATATTGGTGACAAACATAGAAACCTTAATGTCCCTCGGTTCAAAATAGTTTCCCTACAATTGACGTCAAATAATCCTTTTTATATATGGCTTATACTGGCAATATTGAGCAAAATTTTGGTTGTCTACCAAACATCAATTACTAATCATATAAACAGGGCTATAAACAACTTCTTTATGATCTTTCAAAAGCTTTTTGTTATTAAGATAAATTTCAGTAAAGCCTGTCAAGGGTTTGGAAGTCATACTTGGTCCCCAAAATTTATATACGAACGTCAACATGACCTTTGGTCTTGTGTTGATTATGTAGATATATGACAATTGGTTTTTCAAAAAAACACAACACCTATTATCAATATGCTTCCCTCGGGACAAATCGCTACAGTTCTCTCATGATCAACAAGAAAAGCGACTGAAATGTCTCGGAAATAATCCAGCCTACTTAATAATTTCCCTTGCCATTATTGGTGAATCTGTTGAATTATGGTCTGTTATGATATTAATACTTCTCTAATAATAGAACTTATCTTAAAATTGTACCTTTTTCATGACGTAACTTCCTAACCCATAAGATCTTACGTGGAAGTCACATTATTATCTACAACAACGCATCGCGTTGTAACAACCATCAGTATATGATGGAGAACACATTGAGGCTAGAGACAGAACAATATATTTAATATGAATAAAAGGTACATAGCAAAACTCAAGGATAGCTTCTGCAATGCCAAGTCATGCCATCCCATCAATTCGAATTCACTCTATTCATTGTTCCCGCCTTCTCCATCGTTGGGTTTTTATCTGCGTTCAATATTGAATATCTCTTTCCCCAATTGTCCTGTGTTCAGCTCTGAGGATTGTGTAGTTAGGGCCCAATGCCACTGAAAATTTTCTTATGCAGCATTGGTGTAATCTAATCGCAACTCTGCTTCCTTCAACGAAAATAATTATCTGTCATTGAGCAGTAACGTATTATAGGACGGCCTTCTTAATCTTACAGTAATTGCATATAAGCTGCTTAGAGACCATTGAAAGAACAAACTCCGAAGTCCTTTTTGACGTCTTAGGATTCTGTAGTGGTATGTAGATCCGCGAAATAAATAGGTCTGTAGCTCTTCAACGTTGATGCTGACTTCATTAGTTTTGCTGGACACGCCTTAGCTGAAGACGCTCGACAGAGTTGTCACATCAGATCATTAGTGGGTACATAGTAAAACTTAGCTTCGGTCAAACGCTTCTCAACATATTGACATTTTTTAAACATAAAATTAAAATAATTCATCTCTTACTTCCTATTTGACTAATGGTTCCCTTTGGTTATAAAGGTATTACAGAAAAGACCAGCAATATCTGTGGGGTATATAAGTTTATTTCCTTCTTTTGGAACTGCTGACAGAACTTAGCGAGATTATCCATGATATAGGAAATTATATCATTGAGTTGATTAAGTTAATTAGGTTCCCTTAGAACCTATACTATGCTTCTATAAGATAGCTGTTTTAAATATGCAAGTGTTTTGGAAGTTGAACTTGAACAAAGACTGTTTCCACAAGTTGTGGACGTAAGTGGTTAAACTATATGACCCGTATTTGCTAGCAGTAACACTACATCAAGATTAGTATTATCTTCATGAGACTAATAGAGAATTTCGGTTTTAGAACTAAAGTGCCTTTAGTAACGAAAAATTCTTAGTCAGAATAACGTAGTGTTTATCACCTAGTGTTCTGCATTATCCTACAGTATAGACAAATCCGAGCCAAGGGGCGGTGATTTTTCTTTACTGTTTGTGCTTCATGGAGTTTCAACATAGTGGACTAATGGTAGCAAAGGGTTATCAAGGTTAGTGAACATCCATAATCCAGTTCACAATCCTTAAAACTAACTGACCTAAACAAAATGATTTCAGCCAGCTTACATTACGTTTTTTTATGTATGACTCCAGGTTTTTGCTGGTATTCAAAGAATTGTAATCTATCCACTCGAATGCACAAATTCTTGTCAACTTGTGAGCTATGTTACGGTTAATTGTGCTCGGGCATTGAAATGTGAAAAAAGAGTACACATATTCTATGCGACAGCGATACAGATTACTGATAACAATTATGTTTCATAAAAAGTCATTATGAATTATTTTTAAATAAAGGAACAACTAGAAATGAAAGATTGGTTTTCTGCTTTTCTTCGAGGTACAATAAAATTAGAAATGCGACAGACACATTGGAGAACACGAAAAACGAGAGAAAATGTATGGAAGAAGTGGGCAACTAAACCTGAATACAGCAACTGTAATGACAGAAATCCCAGTATATTTTCTGAATCCAGTTACTTACTTCTTCATTTTGAAGCATAAACTTTTCGTTTAATACTCTTACGATTAAGAAACAAGATTGACCGCTTTCATCACTTAGCGAATACAATGCACCTAGTGAGCGCAAGTCCTCTGCATATGTGTGGATTAGTCAAATTTTCAAAGTGTGTCAAAATGTCTTGACTCACTTAATGAAAATAAAAGATTTCCGTTCACTGTCAGTACAAACCATATATATTTGTGTAAAGTAATACTTAAGATGTTTTATGTATCTATCAAAAGTTCCTGACATATTTGTTTACTCTTATAAACTACAAATGATGTTGTGTTTATTTATTTATTTGCCTAAATGAAGTATTTAGTAGTACATGGAACAATCTTGCATAGAATGGTTTATAAGCATGTGTTTTTATTATGACTGTATGTATACGGATGCGTCTTTATGGCTGCGTATTTATTTGTGCCTCCTATAAAATATTTATATCTTGGATAATAATTACATATATATATATATATATATATATATATATATATATATATATATATATATATATATATATCACTGCGTTTGCTTCATTATGAATGACAGTCAACTGGCATTGGATTTTGATTCTACATTTGCTTGCGTTTACTTCTACTGTTTTTTCCGTTTTTTATTTCTGCCAATTTATTACTGTTGCTGCCATTACTATTACAATTGTTGTGATTATTATTATTAATAATCTTAACTGTCTTGTTTATTCGCTGAATACCGCTTTATGTCATATAACAGGAAACTATTGACAGTGGTTAATTTTTATCTGATATTTTGTTAATTTCCTGTTAGTAAAACAACAAGGCAAAAAAACATCAGCCACAAAGATAGCCAAGTAAAGTATTTAAATACAATTTCACCTTGTAAACTGTACCTACCCTTTTTTTCTATGCATTTATTTTATTCATTTATTTAAGAAACATTCAAATAATAATTAAAAAATGTATCTTTTTTTTACTGAACTGGTTTATCATTTGTTATAAGAAATATCTCCATTTTCATGTTTATTGCCAAACAGAATACAGCTAAACAACTGAAGATAACTTTACACAAACATATACATATATTCGCAGAGGAGTCTCGTGTTCTATTACGAGATGTTATATTGTGTTATACAACTGAAAATCATTGGCTTCAAGAATCATTTGTTTGTTATCCGAAGAAACTGAAATGTATCTGATGTTAAGTAGTGTATGCAATAAAATATCAGATATTTATTATTGACAATTTGAAGTAGAAGGAAACAATTCTGTTTTTATTTGAATCACTACTTGTTGTCTGTTCTTGTATTGGCAAACCTCTTCATCTATACGTTTATTGTGTAATAAAGATTTATTAATTGATGTTGGAGATTCAACATCATTTTTTTAAAATATTTTTTAATTTTTATGGTCACTAACATAGTTTACTTAGAAATGATAAATATCAGTAATCATTTTCATAAGTTCAATAAAACATTAAACTTAAAACTGTTCATAATCTAAATAGTACAGTTTTATTAAACTTTTCATAGATAATAAATCAAACAATATTTCTAGGGATTAAAACATTATAAACATTGTAAAATGTAATTAATGCATGTTAAACAGTTTAATGTTGGTACCAGTTTTTTTTCTAAAGATAAGAGTTATAATTCAATATGACAAGACAGTATATACATTGACTTTATCCATTACATTGATATTTTTTCACCATTTCGATGTGATAGAATGAACTGGGCTTTTTATGCTTCTTCATTCATTCCATATTAAATTCAATATAGAGGTAATCATTTTATAAGTTTGTTGGAAGTATTAAATCAAAAATTTTAAAAGTATTTAGATGTTCTGAGGACAAACACACATGAACGGCAGGATTGATGACATATATACAGAGACAATCTTATCCGAACGAAATGATGTGGCCCTACTGTAAAGATTCCTAGAATCTCCTTTCAATATAAAATTACAATTAATTGACTAGACGAGACAAAGAATACCATAACAAAAGGAATAGTAACCGCAGCTGCAGATTGTATTCATTATTTGCTTAATCACTTAAAAACTTAAAACATAATAATTTTGTGAATTTAAAGATTTTTCTTGGATAAAAATAATGTAATCGCAAAATCTGTATTTTTTCGATTTTCTCTGTGATATTGATAAATTATAAATAAGTTATACTTGTCATACGATTATATAAATTATATACTTGAAATTCTTTTGTAAAGCCTTACTGTAAACACTTGAAATTCGATCTCACTCAGTCTTATCACTTATAATTAGTTTTATTTCATATCTTATACCCCGACCTTAAACCACTAGGAAAAATGTTCAAAATATTAGGTGGGATTGGTAAGAAGGCCAACCAATCTGTTTGTTTAAGGAAATAAAGAGAAACCGTGACCAGTGGAGTTCAACCGGGTCTATTGTGAGGCAGTGACTCACTGAAGATAATGGTTGACGATCGCGCAATATTGCGGATTGGTTAAAGCTAGACATCAACACTGTTGGATGCCGGCTTAGTGGTTTACAAGTTAAGCGTTTGCGCGTGAAACTGAAGATCTTAGGTTCGAATCCCACGTGCGAGATCGTAGATGCGCACTGCTGAGGAATCTCATACTCCAACGAAATGGCCGTACAGTATTTTCAGGTTTTCCATGGTGGTCTAGCCTTAAATGAATTTATGAATTAAACTATTAAATAAAGACTTCCATTTAGCTTTTGGAAGCTTATTTCAAATATGAAATAATTTATTGCAGCTGAAGCAAATAGTATTAGAAAGCATGGCTGTAATGTGTCCCTTGTTTATAATCCAGAATCTTCAATATTCTATAACCAGCAAGCCATCCCTTCAACCATATCTCTATCTTACTCATGGAAAGCCGGTTAGTATCATAATCAATTATGTAAACAATGTAGCTGTAAGTTGACTAGATAAAAACTGTACTACATATATGGAGCACATGATTATATTATAGATTCTAAGTAATGTAAATTAGATTAATTTCGTAACATCCAAGATACTACAGTTTGAATTTCTGTCTAGCACTGTGAATTTGAAATAGTCTAATGAATTACTATTAATCCTAACAAGGCAAGAAATTCAACAGGACACGAGCAAGAACTCGAATTCGAAGTACGCAAAGTGAAATTGTATTGCGTTATGATATTTAAACACAGCAAATTTTTTTAAATTCTACAGTAAATGTATTAGTCGTTTATTACAAGAACACTATGACAAATGAATAACTCAGTACTTTCCACAATGTATAATAAATTTACAATTGTACAGTAATATTTACGGTGCAATTTATCATGATTATACATATACAAACTATACAGGATATCTAGACCATCAGCTTCACTAGACTATACAACCAATGGATTGTTCTAGAAATTTTGTGCAGTCAAATTTACAATGCATCAAAAAGATAACTCATTGAAGAATACAACAGTAGTTACATCACAACGACAGAATACATATACCTTACAAACAAGGATTGCAATTCTATGCTCTAGAGAACAAATAAGTTAATCCATCATACATGAAAGCTGATAACTGGAACAGTGTGTAAAGTATTGAACAACAATAAAGATATGAAACCAATACTCTCAATAACAATATGTAATATTGATTTCATCTGAACTAAAGTTAAACTTATTACCAATCAATTTCTAAAAAATAAAATTCTATTTTATTTCTGGTCAATAAAGAACATTATTGACTACCTTTAACTAATCTGTTACCGTCATTATCAAAATTATATAATTTTAATGAAAGAAATCAGTTGATTTAAAGAGAATTAAACAAGATTATAAAATAAATAGTAACTAATTCGAATATTTGAACCTATCTCACGCATGATAAAATGAAATAATGATCTGAGGACATTTTCGGATGATTTTGCCAACTAATTATAAACAGTAATAATAATAATAATAATAATGATAATAATTCAGATATTGTATTATCATTCATGACATTTAATAAAAACCATATAAAAGGATAAATTGACAAATTAAGAATTTCTCATATAAAATATTCATTAGGGTAATTGAGAATAACAGAGTGGAAATAATAGTAATGTTTAATGTTTTATAAAATGTTTCAAGAATTTGTTTCACATTTTATATAAGTAATAAGATTCATTGTAAATTAGTTAGAAACTATATGACAAAACTAGTTCATGTGTAAATATAACAATATGTCTTAAAAGTAAACGAAAATGAATGACCGGAAATGAAAAGATTATTAAATTAGAGAATAATTACAGAATAGTAATGTATAATATGAAGCATATATTAAACAACGAATATCTTAAATGCTTTTATATAACACGTAATAACTTGTCAGTATTGTGTTTTATAGTTACATTGTGCTTAAGTTAGGAAGAATTTTTATCAGATTAATGTGTTAAAACGTTCTATATATATTATATTTATAATGAATATCTCCAAGGTATCCGTTTTCTAATAAGTTAATTCAATCTGATTGAAAATAAGATAATCAATATTGAGTTTGACAACTCCTTGAAAGTTGATAGTTTTGTGGTGTATGCTACTGATGTCGACATATATGAGTAGTATATATCATCAATCGAACGTGAAATGTCAGGTAGAAGGTCAAGAAGATCAAAGAAAAGAGAACGATAACAGAGAATGTTTGCTGTGGAAATGAAGGAGTAGTGAAGTCTGAGACGATTGATTGACATTTTGAAAATGAAATATTTACTGTATAGTTCATAGATTTTACTAAAATGTTCTATAATTTTGTGTTCAATTACATTCGATTGTCCCCCACTTGTGTTCTCGTTCACAACACTGCCACTTCATCAAAACATTGTACTTTATTTGATTCCAAAACCAAAATAAATGAATCTATATCCCTAGCACATAAGTGTCAAAATTAACTTGAGTTATAAACATGAAAAAGTTTATAAAATCAACTGGTTAATTGATGAAATTATTTTTATATCTCATAGTTGAAGTAGTTTTCAATTTAATATTATGTCACA